TTTTAAAGAAGTGATTATTTGAAGTTTGTCTTTATTATTTTAATTAAAAATCTAAATAAAATGTAGACTGTTAAGTGACTGTTAATTCATCCCTAAAGTTGATGTTCAAGAAGAACCTTTGAGAACCTCCAGCCGGATTTGAATTAGATAGCATAGTTGTAGTTCTGGTGCTACTGATGACTAGATTTGAGACTTTGGTTCAGTCATTCTGAACCTGAGTTTTTGTGTCTGTGTGAAATTAGAATAATGCTTACCTGTTCCCCAAGGTTGTTATGAGGCCCCAAAGGGTTTTGTAAATTTTTAAACAGGGTTAGGTTGTTTCTGAAGTCTCTTAAAGTGGTTTCTCTGCTTGTTTTTTTGTCCTCAGGCATTCTTTCTCCTCATGGTAGCTAGAGTAATTTTTTCGAAATCCAAAATCCTATTGTGCTGTTGGTTACAATCTTACAATGGTTTTCCGTTACTGTATTTAAGTAATATCCTCATTATGCTGTAGGTACCACTCTTGCTTATTATGCTTCTTTGTTTTCCTCAATTGTACTCCATCTTTTTCCTCTTTTAGGTTTTCATCCCTGTCCCAATGACTAAAACAGTGTTTTCCTCCAACTACCTTTTAATTTGTTTGGTTTATTCTTACCATTTAGATCAGGGGTTCCCAACCCTTAGGCCATGGACTGCTACTGTTCCATGGCCTGTTAGGAACCCAGCCACACAGCAGGAGGTGAGCAGTGGGCGGTGAGCATTACTGCCTGAGCTCCGCCTCCTGTCAGATCAGCGGCAGCATTAGATTCTCATAGGAGCATGAACCCTATTATGAAGAGCACATGCAAGGGATCTAGGTTGTGTGTTCCTTATGAGAATCTAATGCCTGATGATCTGAGATGAAACAGTTTTATCCCAAAATTATGCCCTCCTACTACCCCCATCTGTGGAAAAATTGTCTTCCATGAAACTAGTCCCTTGTGCCAAAAAGGTGGGGTCCACTGCTTTAGATCTCAAAGAGATCTTCCATGGCTATCCTATGTAAAATTGTCATTGCTGTCCTGATTCCTACTCCTGTCTTTGACTCTCTTATTCTCTTATCTGGTCACCTCCTCCACTTTCAGATTATGATAATTGTAGTAATTGACTCATTTATTTACATGCTTCCTCACTTATTATTCTTTCTACCTCATTAGTGTTAGGATAAAGATAATGTCTATATTGCTCGCTAATTTATCCCTTGTGCTTACTAGCATAGTACTTGACATGTAACAGGTGGTCATATTTATTTAATACATTTGAAGTATTGTTTTACCTCTTTTAAAGAAGTGCATGTACTGTTTTTTTTTTTTTTTTTGTAGCCTGTAGTTTTATAGCTGTACAGTTAATCGGAATAAACTTTAGGTCGATTAATGTGCAGAACTGTAGTGACTTTCAGGAGGAAAAATAATCAGCTACATGTATATAATATTATAAAACTTGCCATCTTCTATTTTTAAAGTTATGATATAGTTAATTATACGTACAAGATAGGTAAACAGAAGAAAATGTCTAATCAGAAAACCTATAGGAGGGTAACATTTTTTGTCATTTAAAATTTTCTTTTGAATAGATTCTAAATTTAGAACAAGGAGTTTTCAGTCCATGTAGTCAATGAAAGTAATTTAAATCCAACAAGGGAAAATGTAAGGTTTGCTGATACATGTCACCTGCAAGAATTCCCTTTTTGTGCTTATATATATATTTTTCTCGGGTAGGCTGGAATATGTGAGTAACTGTGTAGATGATCACCTATTCACACATAAACTTCTTAACACATACAAAACCCTTAGGCCTAGGCCCTGCTGATTTCACTAGCTCTTGGAAGCCAGGTTCTTTCAGACGCTTTTGTACATATTCCTTTTGAGAAGGAGATTTTGGGCTGGGATGATGGGGTTTTCTAAATATATAGTCATGTTATCTACAAACAGGAACAATTTGACTTCCTCTTTTCCAAATTGAATACCCTTTATTTCTTTCTCCTGCTCTGGGTATATACCCAATGGATTATAAATCATGCTGCTATAAAGACACATGCACACGTATGTTTATTGCGGCACTATTCACAATAGCAAAGACTTGGAACCAACCCAAATCTCCATCAATGATAGACTGGATTAAGAAAATGTGGCACATATATACCATGGAATACTATGCAGCCATAAAAAAGGATGAGTTCATGTCCTTTGTAGGGACATGGATGCAGCTGGAAACCATCATTCTCAGCAAACTATCTCAAGAACAGAAAAGCAAACACTGCATGTTCTCACTCGTAGGTGGGAATTGAACAATGAGAACACTTTGACACAGGAAGGGGAACATCACACACCGGGGCCTGTCGTGGGGTGGGGGGAGGGGGAGGGACAGCATTAGGAGATATACCTAATGTAAATGATGAGTTAATGGGTGCAGCACACCAACATGGCACATGTATACATATGTAACAAACCTGCACATGGTGCACATGTACCCTAGAACTTAAAATAAAGATAAATAAATAAATAAATAAAGTAATGTACATCCTCTCTATCCTTAAGGCTATCTGACTACTTTTTTCTCCTCCTTCAGTATGTAACTGAAGCATCACTTTCTCTGTGACATGGCTCCTGTCATCCCTAAGCAGTTATAGAAGTTTCCTGTCTCTGTATTCCTGTTATAGATTGTCTTATACAGGTCTTTGTTACTCTCATGATTTCAGAATTTCATTATATAGCATCTTGTTATTTGTGTCCCTCTTAGCCTTCCCAGCATTTAGCACTACATAAGTAGTTGGTGAGTAAATGAATGCCTGGAAAAACCACAGTGACACTAGCTAATACTTATTGAGTATATGCCAGTCACATACAAAATGTCTTGCTATATGCTAGTCATTGCTTTTGTGTATTTATTCATCTTATCCATTATAGCAACCTTAGGAGATAGGTACTGTTATTGTTCTCATTTTATAGATGAGGAAACTTACTATATTTATTGTTTACAGCATTATGTTTTTAAATATGTATACATTGTGTAATGGCTAAATCAAGCTAATTAACATAGGTATTACCTCACATACCATTTTTTTGTGGTGAGAACACTTAAAATCTATTCTTTTAGCAATGTTCAAGAAAATACTTATCATTTTTTTGTGGTGAGAACACTTAAAATCTATTCTCTTAGCAACTTTCAAGAATACAATACCTTATTATTAACAAGAGATGGCAAATGCTGGCCAGGATGTGGAGGAAAGGGAACCCTTGCACACTGTTGGAGAGTGCGTTCTTTATCACTATGCACTACTTTCTTTCCAGATGAATCTGTAAATAACTGAAGAACTATAACTGTATTCAGCCCAGATTTCTTCTGTATTTACCTTAATGCAAAGTTGAGAAAAGTTATTTCTTGTATGGGACAAGTTCTTGTATATAATCTATCATCTCTGGATAACAGAGATCATCTCTTGGGATATGAAAATATTTTACTGTTAGGACATTTTCTTTATAAAGATATTTGATATAATTTTAATCAGAATTGTTTACTATTTAATATAATAAACTTTCTGTTACTTATCAAAATCTGTCTCTATATCCTAATATACAGGCCACTTTATCCTGGAAGTTCTCCAAGTGAATAAGTTCTGAACCATCGCATACATTTAGAGAGTTAGTGTTCCACTAGAATCAGCAGGGACAAATGAAGGATAAAAGTGATAGCTTTAGATTCAGAATTTTTTAAAAAATTATACTTTGAGTTCTAGGGTACATGTGTACAACGTGTAGGTTTGTTACATAGGTATACATGTGCCAGGTTGGTTTGCTGAACTCATTTCATCGTTTACGTTAGGAATTTCTCCTAATGCTATCCCTCCCCCAGGCTCCCACCCCCTGACAGGCCCCAGTGTGTGATGTTCTCCACCCTGTGTCCAAGTGTTCTCATTGTTCAGTTCCCACCTATGAGTGAGAACATGCGCTGTTTCGTTTTCTGTTCTTGTGATACTTTGCTGAGAATGATGGTGTCCGTGTCCCTGCAAAGGACAAGAACTCATCCTTTTATATGGCTGCATAGTGTTCCACGTTGTATATGTGCCACATTTTCTTAATCTGATCTATCATTGATGAACATTTGGGTTGGTTCCAAGTCTTTGCTATTGTGAATAGTGCCACAGTAAACATACGCGTGCATATGTCTTAATAGAGGCATAATTATAATCCTTCGGGTATATATCCAGTAATGGGATGGCTGGGTCAAATGGTAATTCTAGTTCTAGATCCTTGAGGAATCACCACACTGTCTTCCACAATGGTTGAACTAATTTACATTCCCACCAACAGTGTAAAAGTGTTCTCATTTCTCCACATCATTTCCAGCATCTGTTGTTTCCTGAATTTTTAATGATCGCCATTCTAACTGGCGTGAGATGGTATCTCATTGTAGTTTTGGTTTGCATTTCTCTGATGACCAGTGATGATGAGCCTTTTTTCATGTGTCTGTTGGCTGCATAAATGTCTTCTTTTGAGAGGTGTCTGTTCATATCCTTTCCCCACTTTTTGATGGGGTTGTTTGTTTTTTTCTTGTAAATTTGTTTAAGTTCTTTGCAGATTCTGGATATTAGAGCGCTTTGTCAAATGGGTAGATTGCAAAAATTTTCTCCCATTCCGTAGGTTGCCTGTTCACTCTGATGATAGTTTCTTTTGCTGTGCAGAAGCTCTTTAATTAGATCCCATTTGTCCATTTTGACTTTTGTTGCTACTGCTTTTGGTGTTTTAGTCATGAAGTCCTCGCCCATGCCTATGTCCTGAATGGT